TAGACTTCATTTGAACTCAATTTGACATTTTAAAGTTTCCATGAACAAGGGATCAAAAGTACTGGATGGTAAGACCTGTTACAACCTGGATCTGAGCCAATTCTGGATTAGAGAGGGTTGCTTGGAAGAGTTGCATAAAACAAACTTATTGGCCTCTCTAATCAACTGAAACATGGAGTTGGCGGGAACCTTTATTTCACTGAAAGGTCTGATAGACAATAAATCATAGTGAAAACCTACTTTGAAGTCTGAGAGGTGATGATAAAACACTGTAATTCCACTTTATTAGGATGGCCAATTAAAACCATGAAACGTAGCTTGGTTTATAGCAAACCCAATTTGATAAAGAAAAAGTATAGAATTTCTTAGATACATTTTGAAACTATAAAACTATATAAGTAGAAATAATAAAAAATTCTATTATCAGGACTTACATTTACATTTATTTAATTTGTCAATCGCTTACAAGGTACAGGTATAAGAATAAATATAGTTTTGAATACATGAGATTCTTATAAGAAAAATAAAAAACAAAAGGACAGGGACGGTAGGAACGATTGGTGCACTTAGGAAGGGGGCGAGGTCAATAGTAGACAGCCTAAGGTTAAAGTTTTTGGGGTTTGGGGAAGAAACCACAGAGTCAGCGAGAGTATTCCGAACATTGACCACTCTGTTCCTGAAGTCGTATTTTCTGCACTCAAGTTTGGTGCAGTTAACCTTGAGTTTGTATCTATTGTGTACTCTTGTATTGTTATGATTGAAGCTGAAGTATTCATTTGCAGGTAGGACATTGCAATATATGATATTATATATACTATATTTAGATCGGACCGAAGGCGGTGTAGTTCTAGATTATCTAGGTCTAGAATTTCGAGTCTGATGACATAAGGTATTCTGCAATGAGTAGAGGAGCGGAGAACTCTTCTTGTGAAATATTTCTGGACTTTTTCAATTGTGTTAATATCAGATACATGATATGGGTTCCAGACTGATGAGCTGTATTCAAGTATAGGTCTAGCAAATGTTTTGTATGCTCTAGTTAGTAGTGTGCTATTACCAGGGAAGAAGCTACGTAGGATTAGATTAACACCCCTTAATGCCTTTTTGGCTATGTAGTTACAGTGGGCTCTAGCACTTAGATCATTTGAGATGAGTACTCCAAGGTCCTTGACAAAGTTTGGATCCTCAACAAGATCTTGACTATTTAGCTTGTATTTTATTTTCTTATTTTTTTTCTGCCAATATGTAAGACAGAGCATTTATTTGTTGAGATTTGAAGTTGCCATTTGATTGACCATTCTGTTACATAGTCAAGGTTTACATTTAATCTGCACAATTGAGTTATTAGTACTGTTTAAATATACCTCTTTTATATTATGATATTCAGAGAGAAGCAAGTCTGATTTGATCTGATTTCACTTTAAGCAATGGCTTTAACTTTCACTAGCTGTAGTATATCTCAATAAAAATATATCAGTTTATATTTTGTTTTATTGGTGTATTGGTTTCAGGCTCATTGAAGGGCAGGGAGCTACTTCCTGCCTAAAAAGTGGTAGTGGTGTGTCTCTTCTTCAATAGGCCCTCCTTGGCTTGAACAATTTTCAATAGCTATTGACCAGTCTACAGTTTTCTGTTTCTGGGAAAGGTTGTTGAGAAGTCCACAATACATGAGAATCCTGAAGGATTATCTAGCCCCATTTCAGTTAGGTTGCAGGCCACGATATAGCACTGAGGCAGTTTTGGTTGTCATGTCCTTGGTTGTAGATGACCTTTATCAGAACTGGGACAGAGGTGGTAATCTATCCTTGTCGTCCTTGATCTCTCAGTACCTTTTGATATCATTGTCCATAGCTTCTGAACCAGCTCTATAGGATGGAGTTTAGAGGCACTGTTCTATAGTGGTTCTCTTCCTTTCCAATCAAGGTTGGGGGGATATGTCATTGCACAGACTCTCCTTTCTGGGTTGCTTTAGGGTACCACTCTCTCTCTCCCCTCCTTTTCAGCATCTACATCAAACCACTGGGTGAGGATATCTGCCAGTTTGGTGTTCAGTATCATCAGTAAGCTAATGATATCCAAGTATATATTTTTATTCTGAGCCAGACAAGAGAGCCCATTGAAGTTCTGTCCCAATGCCTGGGAGTTGTGTAAGTTTGGATGGGAGTAAACATCTCTTACTCAAACCAAAACCAAATGATTGTAAGTATTTAGGCTATCTAGATTCAGGGACGTTCCATTTCTGAATTTGCATTTCTCCTTTTAAGAGTGGTGTGCAATCTGGTTTTTTTCCCCCAGGGCTCACAACTCCTATTCAATGCTCAGGTGAAAGTTGTGATCAGAAAGGCCTTTGTACTGCTTCTTCTGATGTGCCAATTGTTCTTTTTCCCTGACTGGGAGGAAATTACTGTAGTCTTGTGTTCACCACCTTTTACCTCATATGAAGTAGTGATGAAGATTGCACCCAAGTATGTTTTAGAGTAGATAAAGAAGCATTTTATCTACTCTAAAACATATTTGTGTGCAATCTTCATCACTGCTTCATATATGTGGAAGTAGTGAACACAAGACCACAGAAATAATGTCCAATCTAACATCCTTTTTATCATTAAGCAGTTCCAGAAAGTGCTTATTCTCTTTGCCAATGAGTCCTGACCAATCACACGAGGGAGGGATGTATGCATCTATTTCTAACCAAACTGATACCAAAGTGGATGTGTTGTGAATCATGATTCAAATTCTAATTGCATCATTTTATTTTATACTTATATTACATCATCACACAGAAATATATGAATGTCTGGAATTAATGTCACTAAGCAAATTTGATTGTTGCCCTCCCGCAAATGCCTATGAGATGTTGATGTTAGTCATCAGACAATGTTAATGGGTCTCACTACCTTCTCCACTGATCACTGCCTTCTTTCCTTGCTCATGATATTATTCAGTAATGTTTTGTGCAGATTTGTTTGTGACACTGCTAATCTGTTCCTGTTTGAATTCCCATCCAAAGGCCGCTGTTGATATTTGTTAAAAATTGAGGTTACAGAGCCACATACAAGCCTGGAGTAATCTCTGTAGAAATTACTCCAATTCTCCTTAAGATCTTCCATAAAGTAGCAAACAGTGTTGGGAAGGCACAATTTCTTGAGTTTTATCCCTGATTTTAGTGCCAACCCAATTTATTCAACAACTTGTTTTGGTTCCCCCCCCCCTATTTATACAGTTACCCTGCCTATAATACAAAAAAAACCCTCTGATCGAACCCCAAGCCTTTTCCTTTTATTGTAAAGAGAAATGATTAATAATTCATTAAGAGGAAAGGAAAGAAGCAGTTTTCTCAAAAAAATAATCACCTACCATCACTCAACTAGTTATCCATTAATGGGTTTTCTAGTAAACATATTAAGATATTGAAATATCTGAGCATTTCATTTCAGTGACTGACAATGTGAAAAGAAACACTAAGAATAATTTCTCTCAGAGCCCACAGATTTGCAAATTCCATTTTGAAATTTTAATGGTAGCAATTATACACTGGCTGCAACGAATATCTTTAGATGGAATGTAATTAGCCATCTGCTAAACACAATGCAGATTCATAATCCCTATGAATCAATCTTTTTAGCAGTAATACACTCTACATTTTAAAGAATTTTGTTGTGAGTATCTCCAATACTTTATTGTACTTGGAAACTGGAATAAGTTCTATCGAGTCTTGTAACTCAGCTACCTCAATTTTGGACAAATTAGTCTTCCTAGCTTTCCTGACCTTGCAGCATAATTACATATTAGCATAGCATAGTTTCAAATATAAAATCAGTTCAATATTTAACCACACTGATCTTCAAGAAGGCCTCACTGGAACTGAAGCAACAGATGTTTAATAATGATCTCAAGAGCAATTTGAGCACAAATCCCTTATTGCTTGGAATAGTTTGACAGGAAAACCATTCTCCAATGCCAGTTTTTGCTAAGATTTAATGCCCATCCCATTGATCGGCTTTCCCCATTGCCATACCCAGTACACCAATCTCTAAATTATTGGAGGAAAATGTTAGTGCCCATCTATGCAAGACTTCAAAGGATAATTAGAACTGCAGAAAAGACAATTAATACCAATCTGCCTTCCATTGAGGACCTGTATACTGCATGAGCCAAAAAGAGGGCTGTGAAAATATTTACAGACCCCTCACATCCTGGACATAAACTGTTTCAATTCCTACCCTCAAAACGATGCTATAGAGCACTGCACACTAGAAAAACTAGACACAAGAGCAGTTTTTTTTCCGAACGCCATCACTTTGCTAAACAAATAATTTCCTCAACACTGTCAAACTATTTACTAAGTCTGCATTACTATTACTATTAATCTTCTCATTGTTCCTATCACCTATCTCTTCCTACTTATGACTGTATGACTGTAACTTTGTTGCTTGTATCTTTACAATTTATATTGTTTCCTAGTATGATTTGATTGCTTATTTGTACCCTATGAATATCATTAAGTGTTGTACCTTATGATTCTTGACAAATGTATATTTTCTTTAATGTACACTGAGTGCATATGCACCAAAGACAAATTTTTTGTTGTCCAATCACACTTGGCCCCAAAAGAATTGATTGATTGATTGATTGATTGAACATATATTCCCTTATTCAGCAGGTGAAATAGAAGGCTTCACACCTGCTGCTGTACATGCCATTTTCATTAGGTCTGGTGGGTAAATCTAATGTTACTCCTTCTAAAGAACAGCTATGATAATTTGGAAGAAAAGAATTTTTTTTCTTTTTTAAATGATAGAGCTCTGATCTCCAGAATGGTAGTCAAATATTTATTCAGTCACAATTTCTAGTCTTGTTTAAATATTGTAGCTACTTTGTTAATGTTATATCCATGTGTGCATTTTTGTGGGTGTGTTTTTCCCCTCCACTATAATTAGAATCCTGAAACTGCTAGCAAAGATGTAAAATCGCTTTCTTTGTCTCTTTATAACTCAAAGGTGACCAAGATGCTGGCTGTGGTGGTGATTCTCTTTGCCGTTCTGTGGATGCCGTACCGTACCTTAGTAGTAGTCAACTCTTTCATGGACCCTCCTTACCTGAACAGCTGGTTTGTTCTCTTCTGTAGACTCTGTATTTACCTGAACAGTGCTATCAATCCAGTCATTTATAACTTGATGTCCCAAAAATTTAGAGCTGCCTTCCGAAAGTTATGCAAATGCGAGCAGAAGAGAACTGAAATTGCTACACAGTTTAACACCCCTGTCTTCTACAGCACAATGAAAGACTGTTCTCATGACAGTTCAGATCACAATGTAACAGAACAAGAAGATCTCAATGGCTGCCCTCCAATAGTCAGGAAAAAGTTAATCTTTCCAAGTAAACACGGCACATAATCACTGTCTTTGGTTGCAGGAACCGTCAATGTGGATCATTTTAGGAATTATCTGATCAGCATGCTAAAGATCTAATATTCTTTTTTTCTGCTTTTGGGTGTAATATTTTCATAAAGTTATCTACATTATCTGTATTTTAATGCTAACCTGAGCTCACCTGTGTCACATATTAGTTGTGGCTAAAATTTGTTGTGGTACAATGAAATCTCTCACTTGGTGTCAAGTAGCCTTGTCTGAACAATACTTTCTCAGAATAGTCATGTGTGCAATCCACTGGATACACTCTGTCCATTGTATTCCCACCAACGCAAACTTACTGTTCTCCATGCTTTTAGAAGAAGAGGATCTGGAATGAGAAGCTCCCTCATTTAAAACTTTTCTCCTGGATCAGGAAGAGAGGCATTTATGGGATAAAAGGCTAGACAAAGAAACCTCTCTATCTTTCTTTGGGGCCTTATGGAAATAATTGGACTAGATTGGATCTATGAGCTTCAAATGTCCCTTGTCTATTCTAAAATCTGGTTGAAGTAGGGAAATATCTCACTAATGAAAGTGACAGATATTCTTGCAGAAGAAATGGAGACAAAGAAAATTTCCATGAATAAGTCTAAATCTTCTGAAATGACTCTCTAAGTTTCATGCACTAGTTTAAACATTAAATTATGTACAGTATCTTGCTGGCTCAAGTGAAATTCGGCATATGGAGCCTTTCTAGGACTTTCCATGATGTCTGTTGGCTACTACAGCTGCTTTTACAGGACATGCTCTAGAGATAGGAGACAGGCTTCCTTGCTGTTAAAACAGAATCAGTGGAAAGATGCTGCCTTTTCATTCAATGGAATTAAGGTAATCTAATTTGATACTTCTGCATTGACACTTGTTCTCCAATTCTTCAGGATAGAGATTATCCCAGGAAATATTGAGAATTGAATCTACAATATTTTGCATGTCAATATGTGTTTTACTACTTAGCTAATTGTTTACTGTCTAGTTTATTATGAATGTGAGGAGGCATTTGAAAGTATATTATTAATTTTAATAGGTAAAAGTGAAGTGTAAGCAGGTTGGGATATCTGAAAACTTGATGTCCAAAACTCTGAGAATCCAGATTAGGAAATACTCTGATAGAAAAGCCCAGCCACTGCATATATAACACGAATAACATATTACAAGGTGCTGGAAATAACTGAAATATTGTCCCATGTGTTGATCTGGTTATACCTGTGTTATTCCCCCTCCCCCCAAGCTAACATATATTTAAATATTCAGTGGATGAGCAGCACTATTTAGACATTCCAGAGCTCTGTTTTTCTTTACAAAAGAGCCTAAGAAGTTTAGTTGAACAACATTAACTTTGTTCAATTATAGCAGAAACCTTAATTTGATTTTCTTAGTAGAATTCCTAAAATAATTCTTGCTTCTGTTCTATTCCTTTTCTTAATCATTAACTATAATCACATTCTACTATATTTTCCCCTTCATATAAACTACAGAAATCCTGAAGAGCATAATAAAGGAGATTAATATTTTCATTTCCATACTCTGAGATGATGCACCTCTAACAGTATAAACATTCAGCAATAGTGATTAAATGTCATACTCCTTTGGTGGCACAAACTCAGTTCCAGTTTAGATTTTGATAAATTGATTTTGCTTGACCTTGTTTGTGATTTTTTTTTCTCTTCCAGAATGCAAGAACTGCTACATCTCTGGAATTCCAACTATGGCCCATTCTTCTTCACAGTGTTTCTATTAATTTGTGATGTGAAGTTATTTGGATCCAAAGTATACTTCAGCAAAAGAGATGCTGAAAGGGCCCTCAAGGTCACTGCAACTCAAACATCTATTTTCCTGGCCTCACTCAGCTAAAGAATAGCAAATGAATACTGGATCATAGACACCTTTTTCACTTCAGATCCAAATAGCTGTATACCAGTAGTTTAATAATATAGGTTTGGAGTATCAGATGCTGTTCCTGTTTGGCTGAACATCCCTTCTGAATATCTAATTTAATATGTAGTTCTAGGAAAGTCTGCATTGTATGATGTGTATCAATGGAATTGTGGCCTATTTTACATCTGATGCACAGGTATCTTGGAAATCAGACCAGTGAAGGTTCATGTTTGTTTCGAAGACCGTTAACCTATCATTAGTTCTAAGCTACAATTTGGCATCGATGGGAGTCACTCTAGAACTTAAACATAAACAATAATGTTCCTGTGGTAAATTTCAAAATGTAGTTTCAATGTCTCTACTTTACCTTGTGGATGGTGAAGGACTGGTTGTAATATGACTAAAGGTTTTCTTGTGACTTGAAGATCCTTAGCTATAATAAGTTCATCGCACTATCCATCTCTAACTATTTTCTATATTTCCAAGCAATTAGTAGCAGTAGACTTTACTGTATTTGAAAACTGAAGATATCTGAAAAAACAGTCTGTAACAACTCAGTTACTGTGACCTGTAATTTTACCATTACTAGCTCTAATGATCTTCAGTGATTTATCTGCCAATGGTATAACTACCAGTACTTCTTTTTGTCTAATAGTGATATGAAGAACAATAAGAATAATACATTCCTGGTTGCTAAAAGTGCTTTAAGATTTTGACTTAGTGGTGGTAATTGGACATATAGTTTTGCATGACCTCTACATTTAGTGATGCTATCGTGATTTTTAACAAAGTATTTATTGTATCTCAGCTGAATACTAATTGCACCATATTGTTGTAACATTATTCATCTTCTCTTTGCAAGCTGGATGTATATGATGGCAACTATTTTACATAAATTCTCTACAGTTCTGAACCAGAAATAGTGATGTGCTATGTATGTCAAACAGACCAATTACAAATGGGGTCTGAAATTTGCTTGAAAGTAATGATTTCTGCTGAATACCTGCAAGTTTTTATCAGTTAAACTTATTAAGATATTGAAATACCTTATCATTTCAGCAATCTGGAAAGGAGCACTAACAGTAATTTCTTTCTGGGACCACAGACTTGCATATGTCTAGCAACAACAATAACAATGGCAGTTTGGTTAAGGTACTGGTTTAGAAACCAGAAGATTGTGAGTTCTGCTTTAAACATGAAAAACTGGGTGACTTTGAGCTAGTCCCTGTCTCTGTCTCTCTTTCTGTCTCTCTGTCTCTGTGTTATTATATAGGTCTATTATTGTAGAGAAAATAGGAGGTGGGCATTTGGACATGTTTGGTACCTTGAGTTATATATGACAAAAGTGCAATAAAAATACAATAGTAATAATTCCTGTCACAACCAGTGGATCAACATTGGGTTATTAGAGAAAAAAGTACACCTGCATTTGCAGGAAAACCTTAGGAAGAAATAATAAAAATGGCCAATATAGTCTAAACATCTTGCTAACTGTGCAACCAATTATAATAATAATCTTATTATTCACTTGAAAGCTAAAATACATCTGTGATCTCTAGTATCTCAATGGTACTTAGTTCAAATTTATATTCTTTGGAATATATAAGGGCAAGCAATTACTTCAGGTCTATAATCGGGAAGATTCAGATTAAACAGCTAGTTTGAAAAGTACAGATGTGTTTATACTGTTATATGAAGTATAAACCCAAGTTTCTTAGCTTGGGCTGACTTTCTGAAGGAATAAGCTATAGACTTCTGTTTTCAGTCATAATCTTGAGGCAATGCACTATCTGTTCTGGATACTGCATGCTGCTGGATACAAAACACAAATATGGTAGATATCACAGAATGCAGCATTGGGGCTAAAGCTAAAAATCATCTGATTTTTCCTAAAAACTTCATCTTGCAAATGTCCTGAAAGCTTCCATCAGATACTGTATGATTGCCAAATGGAATCTCTTCTATACGATTTATTTAAAAGACAAAGGACTTCTACTCACTGTGGCAAATCTTTTAAATAATTGGAACATAGCCCTGAATTTATGTATTCAGGAAGGCTAATTAGTAAATCAGCTTCCAACTTTTTCGTGTTTGGACTTATACCATTTATATGTGATGGGATGTTTGATACATATGATTGTTTTCTGCATTCAATTTTCTTTAGGCAGGACTATAGGCAGTCTTTGGTCTTCAATATCTTTAATAAGACTGTAAACTAAAAAATTTCTTGATAAATGTTGAAAAGCCCAGCAGATATTGTAGCAGTTAATTTCATTTGGAACTATTAGGGAAAAAAGTAGGACTATGTAATTGGCTTTCTTTTGTGGTCGTTTTCCTTCTAAAGGGTTATTTGGGTGGTTGGAGCTTTTATAAATTTCCCCCATCCCTGCTAGGTTCCTCAATCTGGTCCTTGATCATCTTTACAACATCTTCTAAGATTATAGATTACAGAAGTTTAAATCTGTAGTTTTTGAGATAGAGCTCTGTCAAAGTGCCTGCCTGTACACATTTATTTCTGCTCTCTGAAAACTCAGATACCATTTTTCTGATGCACATGATATAGATCTCAACGTATTTCCTATGTTACTAGGATCTTTGGTGAAAATAAGCCATCTAACTGACCCAAATCTCCATACTTTTTGGGAAAGATTCATCATTCAATGAATACTTCAGCTTCAACCATAACAACACAAGAGCACACAATAGATACAAACTCAAAGTTAACCGCACCAAACTTGATTGCAGGAAATACGACTTCAGCAATAGAGTGGTCAATGTCTGGAATACTCTACCCGATTCTGTAGTTTCTTCCCCAAACCCCAAAAACTTTAACCTTAGACTGTCTACTATTGACCTCACCCCTTTCCTAAGAGGTCTGTAGGGGGCGTGCATAAGCGCACCAACGTGCCTACCGTCCCTGTCCTATTGTTTCTCTCATTCTTCTTTTATTTTTCTTATATGTACCCATTTCATGTATTCACAACTATGTATACACTTATACTTATTATCTTGTAAACAATTGGCAAATCAAATAAATAAATAAATAAATAAATAAATCATTTCCCTTTAGTCTAAAAATAAGATAACAGAAGAACCTCTGCTTTCAA